CACTCATGTCAATACATTTTTTTTATAAGATCGTCTGCAAGGTATGGTACTTGTTTTTTAAGTATTAGTATGGCAATGTTCGTATCTGTTCTAATACTGTACGTATCAGATACATTTTTTTATCGTTAAAATAAAAACGAAGTCGAGTTAGAGTGGCTCTTCGGAATGGCAAAGTCTACGGTAAGAGCCAACCCAACATGGAGGTCAGAAACATTTTATATAACTCCTGACGATAGCTCATAGACTTTGACACTAAGAAGTACATTGGCGTTAAAAAGTACATGGGCACTACGAAGTACATTGACGTTAAAAAGTACATGGGCACTAAGAAGTACATTGACGTTAAAAAGTACATAGGCATTACGAAGTACATGGAAACTAAGGAGTATATTATTTTAGCAAGTACATTAATACAAATAAAATATATAACGTTAAGAAAGACTAGTAGTTCATATATTTAGTAGTGACGTCTCTCAAATGTATTAAACTTGCTTTTTATATATCGTGTCGCTAATAAATGCTCGGTATCTATATCAGTGCTTGCAGCTTTAAGAAATATAAAACAATGCTATTAAGGACATTTTTCTAACGGGGAGATCAGTACAGCAAAAGGCATTCAAGGAAACTGTTTGCTCTCATGGGAGATAAAAGTGGCAAACTTTAGTACATCACTCTGACAGCAAGGGGTATAAATCTAATGAACTGCCACGTTAGTAAGTGCTTGAAGCGTAGAATGTAAGATGGTTGACAATACGGAAATTTGATTTAAATTCTACCATTGTATTAATTGAACAATAACCATCATCTACTATTAGCTTAGGTTAAGGGATTAAACTCCTAGTAGAGCCCATTAAGTGTTTGTGTCTTGTGAGGTTTTTTTAATTAGATGCTGAAGGTAAAAGGGTATTTACTTGAAAAAAAAAAGACCAGGGGTAAAGAATTCTGTGGCTTTTTTACAAAAATTAGATGTTTGTCACAGCGTGGATCAGTTTCATTGGTGAATAATTGCGCCATGGACAGAAGAAATTTTTTTTACACTTCGGCTTTTTTTTACAGGGTCTAGGCAGTTTTTGAGAGGGCCCCCATTTTTTTTATTTACAAAATCTCTCTGCTATTGATTCTTTTATGAAATAATTCATGTTTACTCCACATCTACTTGTCAATGTCGCAAGTGAGGTATACTAGAACAAACATATAACATACTGATATTATTTTATGCAAGATTGAACTTCCTAGAACTTTTACTCCAGGCGTAATCTCCCATGCAAGATTTCTGAATTAACCTAATTACATGGAAGATTTATGGCAAATTTTTTTGAAGGTAAATGCGTTGAACATGTATATGTTTGAAGTACCAGGTAGTGTACGTTATCTATTCAAAGCATTCTGTCAGGCTTCTTCTACCTCATTCTTGACCACAACCCAAATTACCTTCATTCAAGCTTATTAATAAACACGCGCTGTTTGCAAAACTTTAATTTTTATTCATCTTTACTTCAACCCTACGTCTCTTTCCAAGTCTTGTATTATATAAGGGGTCGTGTTAATACCTGTTACGGTTGTCTCTATATTCAATGTCCTTTTTATACTGGACGTAGGTGAGTACCAGATCGAAGCATCTTAACAACGTAATAATAGGCCCTTTAATATTTGGGAATTTTTAGAAAAAATCCAGGAATTGCGTATTGAGTACAACCATATTTATTACAATTTCCTTTGTCATCCGAGACTAAATGAATGGATGGTCCTTCATTATACTATGTATGTGAGTCCACCAATGCAATAGATGCGAGTATTATGTAAATTAGATAGACTGTTGCTCATTTTCCTTAGTAAATGACGTTTATAATTACCATTACTTAGATTTCGAATGCGGTTGCTGATTTGTACATGTAGTATGGTATTGATAGATGCCGAGGGTCTGAATGGATATGAAGATTCAGCGAAATGTTTAAGAAATACAAAGGCAAGATGCATGTTCTATTCCAAATTTAAGGTCGTTTTTGTGATATATATCTGATCGAAATTAAGACTACCTGTATTTTTCATGTTGAGGCTTGTTAAATAAATACCACAGTTTCACTCATTGTATAATATTATTTAAAAAGTATTGCGATCAATTGTGAAGTGACACTCTATGAAGTTCTGACTTTCAAAAAATCTAAATGTAATGGAAATTTGGATAACAAAGTTTGAATTTTTAAGTATACATAGAGATCTAGCAAACCTACACTTAGTTTTCTCAATTTCAGTAGATGAAGAAAAGTCTTTTCAATTCTATAAAGCTATTTAAGAATGCCAATTTTACGTTTATATGACAGGTCAATATAAAGAACTCGTTTACAAAAGATTTATGCAGGGTAAATCTTTGTATCACGTTATAGTCAAGATATATTTACTTCTCTATGATAAAAGTATGTTTATTGAAAATCCACGTAACGTTATTGTTGATAAAGAGGGTAGTGATGTTTATTATTATTTGATAAAAAATAAAAACTTTATGTCCTTAAAGAAAGTATAATGCAATACTGTATTATTATCATTTTTTCTCTTCCTTTGTCAACTTTTGTAGAATATCGTGAATATAATCTTATTATTCATTACAATTAGTTTTATAAGTAACGGTAAATTATCTTCTCTTACAAATGTCTGATATATCAATAATTATAAGTACCAAACACAAATAAAATACTCTTATTATGCAATATCTTTTTTAAAGAACTAATTGATGCTAGACATTTCATAAGATTGAATTAATAAAGTAGATACAATATTATGTTATATCTACGGGAATTTACTTTTATTTTTTAGACTATATATATCCTAGATCCAACAACATGATTAGTAAAATTAAATACAGGTGGAGGAATCTAATTCAAAAATAATTAAATCATGTCGTATGAGAATTGGCATTTGATAACTAAATTGTAAGAGAAAATCACCCAAAGAAAAAATTATAATTGATGTTTGAAACTAAATCACCTTAATGCGTGATTTGATGAAATGATGAAATCACTCATTTATTAAATAAACCCACACCCACTCAAAGTCGTATCATGATTCATAATCACTAAAATACATTTAACAATATCATTTTTTTTATTATGCATCATCATTTTCCTCCTCTTCCTCTTCTTCTTCCTCTACCTCTTCCTTATCATTTTCTTGTCCTTCATCAACCAAGTTGACCCCGTCTTCGAGCTCTTCGTGACGCACAATATGGGCACTTGCAATCAGGGAACTGCGAAAACCCCCTACATGGCCCAGGTGGTGTTTGGTAAAAGTTAACCACCTGGCGTTAAGTTCCATCGCACGTTGAAGGAGAACCCAAGCACCAGTTCCTTCAGCGTGCTTCGCAAGTGCCGAAACCAAATACTCCCTCTCTTTGGAGATACGTTCTCCTAGCCAGAAGACGTCTCGCTACAATGATAATTACTTATTAGTTCTCTTTATTATTTTCAAAACAATCTTGATTCAATATACCTTTAAACGTTTTAGCTCTTCTTTCAAACATTTCCATCGGAGCCAAGTCGAGACGTCTTTTGACCAGTTCACCTCCCAAAGCCGTTTGCCTTGTCCATGACAAAGTCCCAAGTGACCGACTTTACGATATCTAATCAAAATGTTAGTGTTTTAATTGGATCTCTTTTTAATGGAGGAAGTATCTACTTCTCAAGACATACCTGCATATGGGCTCTCTATCAACTCCTTGTTACCCGTGTTGTACATGCAGATAACATCGATCACCTGCGGACTTTTGCTTCCGCATACCTTCTTGCAGCTTCCCGGCCTGACGAGTCCCTAGTCAAAAACAAAGTTAAATATCTAATATTGGATTAAACATTACAAGTACGTACCAATGTGGCCACTGTGGAGTTTATCCCCAAGGTCAAAGTAGGCTTGGACATTACTTCGTAAAATATCCTTGAACAATGCCTCTCTGACCTTGAGAAACTTCCACCGATTGGGACTCGGCAAAATCAAAGTATGCTGGCTCCAGAATGGTAGGTCTTTCGGAGACGTTACGACCGGCAGCCCTCTCGACATCAGCAAGATATTTTTCAATTGCACCCAATTGACTGCGGAAGTAGGCCCTGCCGGTGGAGCTGACAATGTAATCATTTGCATTGCCATTGAGGATGTTCCTAATAATAGAGAAATAAATAATGAATATACTAAAAATATTGAACAAAAGGAGTACTTACTTAAAGCTAATGTAGACGCTCAAGCTCAAAGGGAAAGTGTGGGCGTCTACATAGCTTTTGGAAGCAGATGTAATACATCAGTTCCAGAACATCCTCGCTCCCCAAGATTAGCTACTTGCTTGGCGTAACGCTCCTCAACACCACGGAAATGCTCAACAGACCACCTTTTAACCTTGTTGTCCTCTTTTGTTTTTTCGAAAACAAGGCGGCGGATCTTCTCCTTCAGAGTTCGTGCTGATAAAAAAAATTGAATTAAGTATAGATCCGTATTATCTTCAAATAGTTAACGTACCCAAATTGAACTTGATGGCTGTGTTCCTGTACTTTACAGCCATGTACAGGACATACCGCCGGTTCTCAGGCCATCATGGGTTTAGTCATGGTGATGTATTTAGCCAAGTAAGACCAAAGTCTTTCCATGCCCTCACCGTCAGTCAACCCAAAGTTGTCAATCAACCTCGGGTTGTACTTGACCTGACAGTGCATTACATGAGCGTAGGCATGGAAGACAGACAGACCCAAGCGGTCAGAACCGGCGATTCCGGGGAAGTTCAGCTAAAACTTATAAATTAGTGATATGATAATTGTCAATTTTTGATATAACATACCTTGATAGATGGCTCCAGTTTGCATACAATGTCATACATGACATGAAAGGAACCTTTCTACCAAGCTGGTTCTCAACAGAGGCTATAGCAGCCAATGGATACTTAAACCTATAATAGATGGATAAATATCAATTTTTTTAAAAAACAGAGAAAATCGAATGTTACCCTTCCCCGGCGTCCATGTCTGCTAGTTGGAACACAGTATCATGTCTTGCGCAGCCGCGACCAAAGACACCACGAACAGGATAAATGGCTGAGGTGCGATTTGGTGCACCACAACCTGCCATTTGCGAGGCTCAGCGACCTTGGTAGATGTAGCCTCTTCAGTGGTGGAGGTACCCTTGGTAGATGTAGCCTTGGTGGCGGTAGTTCCCTTGGTGGTGGTAGTGCCCTTGGTAGTGGTAGTGCCCTTGGCACCAGGCTTTTAGCATTAAAAAAAGAAATTATTTAACATGTTCTATTGTAATGTCACTAATAATTATTTACCTGCGCAGACGGGTCATATCTGTCGACTAAAGCTTGATGGATCCAAAACTTCTTGAACCCATCAAGGCCAGCGACTTTGGACAAGTCGTGGTCCTCTAACAACGATCTTCTTCCTTTCAAACGAAAGTTTCCATCCATCATCATGTACTGCTTGTCATTTAAATTATCTGATCCGACCTGGTATATAAATTATCTAAGAGTTAATATGACAGTTTTTTTGTCTTTTTTTTTCACAAACCTCAGGACAAGCAGCACATGATGTGGAAATATCCCCCATCACCAACTGTTCAGACAGCTCAACCATCTTGTTGTACAGGATGATACTGTTGGAAGCATCTATCAGCAGAGAGATTGGCCTACGTAATATTTTAGAAAAAAACAACATAACTTTCTCTATTAGACTGTACCTGAGCTGTCTGATTTGCGCAGACCTTATAGAATTCTGCAATTTTTTCAGCAGAGCCCGCAAAGATGTTTCTTAGGTTGACGAAAAAATCACAGAGGCTGAGATGCAATGCAGCCGTAGGTCTGGCTGGTGCTAGGGGGAACATGCCTGCTTCCACCAATGCAAAAGGAAATGTCTTACAACCTCCACAATATTGGAAGTCGTATTTGGCTTTCACAACTAAAAAAATAAATATAACAATTATGTGATTGCATTCTACACTATACCGGAAACAAAAAAGAAATCGACCTTCACAACTGTAAGACGATCGGCAGGACACTCACAGGGAACCAAAGAGCCGGGATGCTCACTCATCATTGTGGGCATGCCGCCATTTCTACCCAAGAAAGCAAGGTAAGCTTTTGCAACACCTTCAAGAGACCTTTCCCGCCAAAAAGGATTTCTTTTGCTTGGACCTGTACTGGGTCTTGGCGTTGACAGTAGTCGTGTTGGACTGACCGACGACAGCTTCGATTTCACTGTCGGTTTCGGAATCGCTAAGGACTACTGGTTCCTGCTCTTGATGGCTATTGTACCCACCTGAGCAGCCACCATCATAATCGCCCATGTCATAATGTTGTTGTTCTTTTTCTTCTGAAGATCCGACCGCAGGTATTCCAGTAACACTACTATAATCATTCAAACGTCGTTCTTTAGCATCTCGTCGGAAGCACACCAACTCGTCCATTTCTGTAAGGAGTTCATCAGTAAGGTAATCGAGGGTTTTGCGTTTTTCTCTTATGAACTTTCTAGTTGTCTTTTTTTGATTAATAGTTGATTTTTTAGGTGTCTTTTTTTTATGAATAGTGGATTTTTTAGGTGTCTTTTTTTAATAATAGTTGATTTTTTAGGTGCCATTTTTTTATTAATAGTTGAAAGAAAGAACACAATCTAAAGCCACCCCTGTCAATTAATAAAAATTAATTTTGATGACATAATGCAGTAATTTTTGTTTGGTACCTTTTTTTTTTGTACTTTTTTTTTGTACTTTTTTTTCTGTGCTTTTTTTTGTGCTTTTTTGTGATTTAGCAGTAAAATAAAAATTTGACGTCCAAATTTAGCTTGCACGGAGATCAAAATGATCTTAAATTTTTTAAATTGGTGGGATGTGGTGAAGCTTAGACAATTAATTGAATCTCCAAAAATCATAAAAGTTGGCCGACAGATCGGTGGTGATCTAGCTAAATTTTCCCAGTATGGTTTAACCAGTACACCAACCAACTAGAACTTGGCACACTTTTTTATGATAAAGAAATGGCCACAAGACAAAACTACTCATTGCAAAAAATGTGCGGAGACGTACTGCATTTAAATATGTTAAAACCAGACGATATACGTAAAAGCAATTGGGAAACAGATGTTCTATCGCCTGGTCACGTTGAATATGCAGCTGTTGATGCGTGTATATCTCTTGAAATTTACCAAAGCTTCAAGGATCTTTGCACTGTGAAATAAAACATTTATAGGTCAACACCAGTCGGTACCTTTGTTGCTTTATATCCTTCTTAGGCTGACAAAGCTACTCCCGCTGCATTAGGTTATTTGCGTGATATCTTACCGGATGAATCAAATTTATCAAAACGTGAACAATTGATTACCCCTAAAAATAAATCTTCGATTGGAATGGAAACTGTCAAAGTGTCAATACCTGGTATTTTACTAGATTGATACAAAGACAATTAATCACTGGAGGACTTTGAACAACCAAACTTTACTATTTCCGTCAATAGAGCCAATTTGCTTGTCGCTTCGGAGCCAAAATGTATCTCGTCTCTTGTTCAAGCTTCTAACCCTCCTGTCATTTCTAGAAGTAATACTGAGCCTATTTCAAGTACTAGCAATTCCTCGAGGGCCCTTCCTTCAAGAGTTTTGAAAGATGCGTTTCATTTGCCTGAACTCATAAAGGTATCTCTCAGACATGGTTTAAGCAAAGATTTTATTCATAGATTTTGTGATGCTTTGTTCGTTATTGACAGTGACGATAAACCTAGGGTAGAAGTATAATTAATTTCGATTGGTACAGATTGGAATACTCGTATATTTTTTAAGGTGTTAGAAGATACATTCCCCCTCCAGCAGAGCTGTATCCTATGGTCAAGATTATCTTTGAAAATACCAAAATGGATTGTGTTCAAGAACTGGCCTGGCTTTGTCTGATAATGAGGCTGTAATTATGTCTAATCAAATCTTGAAAGAAATTAGACAAGGCAATACTTAAATAGGAGAAGATAAAAATGGCTTAATGAGATATAGATGTAGTAGAGGTACCTCTTCTGTAGAAGGATCGCTACATTTCAACATTATCAGACAATTTGCATCATACAACGCAGGTCCGAGACTGACTGATGCGGTGTTATCTGATTATATATTATATCACAACATAATTGTAGGTTCTTATGTACATTTAAGTAAATGCCTCACAGATATTAATTATTTTACTTTTGGTCTAGATGGGAAGTATTACAAGACATGGAAGAACTCATAATTGGCACTTTTCACCTTGGATTTCTCAGGCCATAAATACCTTGCGTATAAAAGTAGGTCATGCACCGGTTCAAAATTATTTTGGTAACTGGATGACTTCCAAAATGCAAAATAGAATTAAATAGAATAGACTTAATTTTTTGGGTTGTGTAACGTGGAATCAACCTTATTTCACCGCTTAAATTTTTCAAGTTAATTCGACCCCCCTACCCCCCCCCCGAATTAAAAAAAATTAACAAAAAAATCATCTTTCTATTAAATAATTCATTTCTGATAAACGCTAATAACATTCAGATAATAAATATAAGATCTATGAATAATATTTATCAAAACAGTTTATTTATTTGGCTCTTTTACGCTTCTGAGAACCGTCTTTTTTGCCCTTTCAGGAGAAGTAACAGTGAGTTGCTACTGTGCATATAAAACTGATGGGTTTTAGTGCGAACGGAAGGAGCATCATTGATAATAGTTAAACTATCTTGGTTACCGGTGTCTGGATGTATTCAAACATCATTGTCATCTGATAATATAGCTGTTTAGGTAGAGTTTTGCATATATGGTACGGGTCAAAAAAGTTAATTCTATTTTCAGTGTTTTGGAACAGAAGTAAAATTAACTCGGAAAATCAAATTTCCGAAGTTAATTCTATTCTATTTAATTCTATTTTGTATTTTGGAAGTCATCCACTATATTGGTGATATTTTCTCATACACTCAGACAAGAGAAACTTTTGGAATTACAAGACTTCCTTTAGAATGGACAAGAAAGTATGATATGAGACCACTGTATTATACGACAAGTATTATTCCTGCAAGTGTAAATTTAAGCCAGCAAAGAATATTTGATTTGTGTTTAATCCCAGTGATAAAGCTTCCTTACATCAAATATTCAACCAAGCAGTTTCTCTATCATTTTCTCGCGTATTGTCAAGGTACCGCTTTTGCGGTAACGGCTGTTCACACGAAGGAGGAAACTGAAGTTTTTGGTGCTCTCATAATCAGTCAACGTGATCTCATTCTTTCGGAGAACGTAGCTCATATTACACCACGAGAAAATCCAAATGTTTATAGGTGTGATTCGGGTGATCATTTCAACACTTATTTAAACACCTAAAGAAAGTGTTTTTCGCCAGTTTTTAGAGTGATTTTCCCCGCTTAAAGAATGGTTAAAATCACTTCAATATAACTTCAATATAACTTAAAGCCACCTATATTACTCACCCTAATATCACTTTAATACAACTCATTGTCACCTATACAGCTTACACCTTAATATCACCTTAAGTCCACCTTAAAATCACTTTAGATCCACTTTAATATCACTTTTGATCCACTTTAATATCACTTTAGATCCACCTTAAAATCACTTTAGATCCACCTTAAAATCACTTTAGATCCACCTTAATATCACTTTAGATTTCACTTTAAAACTACCTAAAGATCACTTTAAAATAAACACTTTTACAGTTATAAAAACTTTATTTGAAGAAAAAAACATTATTTAAAACTTGTGGGAAAGGTACTGTTGTCGATACAGCTATGCAACCGCAAGTATCGTTCACTATCATTGGAGAATATGACATGTTAATAATACTATCAAAATTTTTATATAGTAAGCCTTACATTACATTATTGGTTAGAAGCAGAGTACCGTCTCTTACGGTTTTCGTTCATTTTTGAGGGAGCCTTGTTTGACCAGCAGCTCTGTAACATGAAGTAAATGGCCCAATTATCTTTACAACAATTGACAATGTCTTTAATGTTCAAAAGATGAGCTTCCCTGGAGGGTCTTGTTATCAACTCCTTCTTGATAACACCAGACAACGTTTTCCAAAAAGCATATTCATCCATGCTTGACCTCAGGACAGAATTGCAAATGGAGTTAATATCCTTGCTTAGCAAACGATACATACATTCTGCTGGTTTTGGGCTGGCTAAGAGGATTTAAAAGAAACATTCCGTCATCACTATTCATTAGTATGTCAATGATATCGGTAACATGAATAGTTTCTGGCTTTTTGATCAAGTCAATCTGTTCATAATCGACTTGCATTTGGTCTTGAGAAACATTTTGGAGACTTGTAGTAGCTATTTTATCTAAAATGGTCTCTAATCAATCCAATCTTTCATTAATATTCTTTATAGCTGAAGTCTGCTCTGCGATGATAGTTGCTTCCAACTTCTCCATTCTTTCAAGCAATGCTTTTTCTGATGTAGGTTGTCTAAACATATTGATAGTATCTTTTAAAAGGTATTTTTATTGATTTAAAGAGGTCAAAAGAACACATCACCCCCGCTTTCTTTAATAAATTTCATTATTATATTTCTTTTGAAATGCTTATGCTTGGCCTGTTTATTGAGGAATGATACTTTTTAATTAAACCCCATTTTACACCGTGATAACAGGACATTTGGCTTAACGTTTTATATCTCATCTTTCTTTATCTTTAATCATTTTATATATTCTAAAAAATATGCGTTGCGATACTTGCCCAAACAAACCATACGTTCGTACTCGTGATATAGAATCTTTCTCATAAAAGAAAGCACAAAAATATGGAATTGGAAATCGAAATGAAGGCTAATATCGTTAGACGACGACTAAATATAACAGATGACAGCACTGCTGAGTCATGCGTCAATGGTTTGCCCGTAGAAGAACCTACCAATATTCCTGATCTTGAATATGGTATGACTGACGATGACAATTTTGATCCCGTTCCCGCTTCTGGTATTGCTTATATGGATATCAACTCTGTAACTGAATTACAAAATCTATATGAAAGTGATAGTGGAAGCGACTCCGACATCAATCTCGAACGTAGTACTGTTTTAGATACAGAATACAGTAGATACATGACCGATAGTGAAAGTGATGCTGAAATTCAAGACTCAAATTATGCCAAGAATCAGTTAATAAAGTACTCTGAAATGGCAGTCAAAGGTGATCCTGAGGAGCTATCTGCAATTCGTGATTGCAATTGGGAAACATTGGATGATAAAAAAACTTTTGAATTTCATGCATTGATGGAAAAGTTGAATCTGAAAAGATTTCAGAAAGAAGAGATCATCAGATGGATCAATAAAAATTACAATGATACTCATCATAACCAGAGTAAGCCTTTTTATGCGTATTCACTACATCATTACATGATAACTAATTCTTCTGTAAATTAGACGTGACAGAAAAATTAAAGTCCACTAATTTAAATAAAAAACAAACGAGTGAAACGGTACAGCTGAAAGAAGAAGTTCACGACATGTGTGTGAATGGGTGCCAAATGTTCATCACCGAGGATCAAGAAATGTGTTCTTACTGTGAGAATCCAGGTTTCAACTAAACGACAACGGCGTGTTAGAAGCTCGTCAAAAACAAAAGTTTTTGGACATTGACGATTTCATTGCTTCATACCTTGTCTCTGATAAAAGCATGAGATCATTGCTGCACAGATCAGAGAAGGTCGAAACAAGCGACCGTTTTGTAATGGAAGACTTTTTGACGGCAAAAAGTACCAAGAGCTTTTAAGAAAAAGTTTCTTCCAAAACAGGTATGACATCGCCCTGGCGTTGTATATTGATGGATTTTTTCGTGGCCAAAGAGGAAAACAGAGTCTAACCATTGTCAAAGCTGTTAATATGAACTTAGGTCTCGATGAAAGGTATTTTAAAGATTAAAATAATTCCATCAAAAATACTAATTGCCATTGTCTTTTACAGAGCAAAAAAAGAAAACCAATTTGTTGTTTGCATCATCAAAGGGCCCAAAAAACCAAAAGACATCTATAGCTTTTTATATCTTGTATTGATCAATTTAATCAAAATGGAGTCTGCTGGTGTGGTTGTCAAGGCTCACGACAACCAAAAACTTCATATCAAGGTGTATACTTGTCTGTTTCTCGGGGATATTCCTGCCATGGCGGATACTTTGTTTCACACAGGCCATACAAGCAAATTTGATTGCCGAATATGTGATATTATGGGCAGTACTAATGATGGTAAAGGGATGTACTTTAGTCTTAAAAATTCGGACACTGCAGTAATTAGAAGCAATGAAAGTTTTAAATCAGTAAACGAGCGGGTATCTGGGGTAAATGCTACAACAATACTAGTAATCGGCCACTATGACTATTATCTAATTTTATTTGATAACATCAATTTGAAAACAAAGGGCTCACGAAGGTTACTCCTTTGACCGGATTTATCTCGTTTTCGGCAACATTCGCTGGCTTTGACGAGCGTCATTTCATTGGGCATAACGTATCGAAGGAAATTTGGAAATTTATTTCTGATGGCGATAGAAAATATGGTAACAATGATATAGCGCTAGTACGGATTTCGATTTAAAAAGGGACAATTATTATTATATAACAATTGTGATAGTGAGCACCAGACTTTTAGTTGTCAACTTAGTTTTATTATTTATTAAGAGTATTTCTGTAGTGATCTTAGACGATAAAATATATGGATAAGACAATAAAATGCAAATCGATAATAATACAGTGAGAGATGAGAAGAGAATATAGTTCTTAGATGTCAAAGATAAAAGAGTTTACGACGGGTTTATGTAAGAAGATGATGTGATTGTATAATTTACAATAGACAACAAACAGCAACAAAAAGCGGAGGA